CAAGCCCCAGGCTTTTGGAGAATCACTGCTAATCCAATTGGCGAGAGCAGTTTAACACGATCTTTGGTGGGTCCCTAGCGGGCTGCGGGCCTGGCACAGGTGTGGGGACAGTGGGACGCCGTCCATCTTGGAGGGGCTGGACCGCCTGGTGCATGGCCTGTGGGAATCGTGGCTTTGATTTACTGCTACCTGTAAATCGCCTTCCCCCTCCCTGCACTCTGCGGCTGTGTCTAGGAATCTGCTGCATCTCTGGTGTCTAACTTAGGTTTTGCAAAAAATAGGAACAGCCACAGTGCAAGGCGCTCTGTGCAGACTGCTGATCTCTCCCCCCACTCCTCCTTGATGTCCCAGGGGTCGCATTTCTGCATCCCTGCGTGCACCCGCCGCAACACAAAGGTGTCTCGGCTCCAGCATCACGCTGCAGAGCTGAGTACGTGCTGAGTGCGTGGATGACTCCTGGGCTTATCCCACATGGGGCATGCAAGGCACAGATCGGGTGCTGGTCCTAGCTGGGCAGGGATCTCCTCCCAGTTAGACTGGGCTGCATTAAGAGGAGCAGGCTGCTACCACCGAGTCCAGGGCAGTGACTGGGCTGTGAAAGGCTGGTGCTGGGGACCCGCAGGTGTGGTTTTTAAGTGAGATGTGGCTCAGGCCAGCTGACCAGAGGCAACGACTGGGGTGGAGATGAGGCAATGGGCTTTTTAAATTCCAGTTGGCAGCACCAGTGGAAACCAGAAGGGGAAGTCTGGGGCTGGACTAAACATCCAGGCCCGGATCTGTGTGTCTTCGGTGTGGCTTTAACCTGGGTTAGTCGAGCCGAGCTCGGAAGATGCATTCTTTGCCGTCTCTCTCTCGCACGTCACTCCCACCCCCGGCTATTTTTAAGCACAGGGCTGCTTTGCAAGACCCCTGCTCAGACCCTGCCCCTGCGATCTGATCCAACATGAATTTGCACCCGGAGCGAACCCCACCCCAGCTCCTCCAGCTTCTTGCTGTTGAGGCCCCACGGGGCCCATTGGATACGGAGCCTGCCCGCCTGTTCCCTCCAGCCTGATTTACAAGCCGTGACAAATGACAGCAGATGCTTCGCTGCACTGGGGCTGGGGGTCTTGCTTGTCTGGAGATGAGGAGCAGGGAAGGGGACCAGCAGGAATCCAGCCAGCCCCCGGCGCATTCCTGCGCTGGGCCCAGCTACCGGGGAGCTGATGGGAATGGCAGAGCCGGTGCCTAAGGAGAGGGGCGGGGGGGGCACGGCAG